GTGTGTGTGTGTGTGTGTGTGTGTGTGTGTGTGTGTGTGTGTGTGTGTGTGTGTGTGTGTGTGTGTGTGTGTGTGTGCGCTCGCGCTCATCCACCTTCCAGCTCTGCAGCCATGCTCCGTCCAACTCACCAGTCACGTCCTATTATAAGCTTTTTCCACCCATCGGTCAGCTGGTCGATAGTGCCTCGCAATGAGACTGCGTGCAGGGGGTGCTTCCTGGGTTCCAGGCCGCGGTGAAGCATACCACGGTTAGTCACATGGTGTCGCCCAACTGATGTCTCCTTCAGAGTCGTTGCGTGTGAACCGATCGGCATGACCAGCAGTGGTTCTGGTATAGACTGTTGTTGCCAGAAAGATGCAATACCTCCTCCCCGGCCCTCGTTCCATAGCATTGAGCAGATTTGCTTCGTACTCGAAATACGTGAGTCTGGCTGGGCGGAGTTGTGTCATGAACTTTTCCACTCCTTGGACACGTCTGGCATGGACCGCAGGTCGCCAGTTCTCTGCCACAACGAATTCGAGCCGCTGCGCCTCGGGAACGGGTGGGAAGGGTGGTTGCAACAGATCGGTCACCAATTCGTCGATCGCGACCCAAGTGTCAAATGGGCCAAGTTGCAGGCGTTCTAGAGTAGCAGGCAGATGGGAGAAGAAGACCATACCTGATAGCCCACATTGTCCACATTGTCCACATTGTCCACATTGTCCACATTGTCCACATTGTCCACATTGTCCACATTGTCCACATGGTGTATGGGAGGGTCGCCTGGCATAGTCCAAACTCGAAGATGTTTGAGATTCCTGAGCCGAGAGAGCGGGAATGAATCTATGAACTCGTCTTCCTCCATGGCGCGGTCGTTTTCTAACTTCAAGCTCAAAGCTCTCAGATGTGGTTGCGACGCGGCAGGGTCAGTCAGGACATGCGTGATGAAGTCAGCCTCGCGTCGGCTAGTGGCTCCGTTACCAGGGGGAGGTTGTACTTCGAAGTCGAAGTACTCGACTGGGACATTCGTTAGCCTTTTATCGATCATGTGCGACATCGCCAGGGATGACCGACGATCTGGGGACCTGAAGAACTTACGAGCAGCAGGGACACGGAGGATGGCCGAGATTGTTGCCTTGTCAACTTCACATCGTCTTAGACTAAGCTCCTTGAGCGAGCGCATATCGGTCGGCATGGGATTGGGAAGTCGTGCGCAGATCGGCGCCGTTGATGGTAAGGGCAGCTAGCTTCGGTGTTTCGGCCAAGAAGGTGGACAGCTGTAAGGGAAATGGGAGAGGCATCTTGTTCGAGCTCAACGTCAAATAACACTACTGCAATTCAGGGCTGCGAACACGGGTCAGCTCAAGTTGGCCAGGTTTGATGATGATGCGGAGAGAAAAACAAGACTTCCTCAAAGAACCGCACTCATCGGGAGAAAGGGTCAACTTACAACCGTGCTGTCTCAAGTTGCATCATCAGAGCACCTCGCCACGACGCAAACGCTCTTCGCCGACTTCTTCGGTCCCAGAAATCGGCTTCGATCTCTAGATACTTGAGGTTCGAGAACCGACACAGGGAACCTGACATTCCCAGAATTCCGGCCGCCGTCGCTGCGTGTGAGGCACATGTGGCATGCAGTTGCAAGCGCTGCACGAGATGCTCGCGGTGTGGACCAGAATCCAGGAAGGTATTGATTTTCTGGCACTAGTCGACATTATTGATGGATATGAATTGGCACCAGATCTGCTCGCACAATCGCAGTGCTCGCCTGCAGATGGCGCGGGATCGAGCGATGTGGTGGTGACGTTGGCCCAGTCTGGTGATGAGGTACACGAAATCTCGTGAAAGGTAGCCGACAATCTGCAATAGGGCCCTCGTCGGGAAGATCGAACAGCAGTACGGACTGGACTTCCGTGGTCGCCGCCATGGTTGCAGAAAGAGGTATCTGTGGCAGTAGAGGGAGGCTGACTGGAGGGTTGTTGTCACACTCTCAGAGGGAGCAGGCAGTCATGATGCTGCTGGTAGCCACGACAGATGTGAGGGCGATGCCTGAGGCCTTTACCTTCCGGGACTTTTTCTGTGCGTGTGATTGTGAACGTGGCTCTGTTTCGCGACGGGACCCACGTGGACGAACGTCTGTTAGACGATGTCCAGGGCAGCATCCTCGCGCTTTTCCCCGTCCGCAGGGTTGCCTTTGTCTCCTGCCCATTCTCCAATATCTTCGCGGCCATCTTAGATTCCTGGCCTTCAAGTGACTGTGCGTGCCTTCCCTGTCGTAATTGTTCAAACGTTCGCACGACTGCTATCCGGCAGACTTACACGGGCACGGTCAACAATGCTCAAGTGCTGCCATGATCATACCTTCTAGTCGCTGCTTTCTCAACGTGTTGTACAGCTTAGCACCAACAGGCAACTCCCGTCTGTGCCTGTGAAAATGGACACCACCAAGCGAGAGGCGTAGGACAATGCATCTACTGCGCATTTTTCGTAGCTTTGGCACGAGGCGGCTCGTCCATTGCTCTGCAGCATATCGTGAGCATATATATATAAAGAAACACTCAGGACTACCGAGCTTGGAATACACGCGAGGGTACATTCTTGGAGGACGGAGGAAGAGAACCATATACACAGTAAAGGCTCGCGCAGGACAATTCGCGTCACGGCAGAGCGGAATTCACTTCCGCTTGCAACACGTTAACGCCAAAACGGCACAGCGTCATCGTCATTTTCATTGCCTCCTCCCCTTGTCCACTGCCTCGTCTTCACATCCCTCGACTATTTCTCAAGCATGTCCGTGGACGACCCATAGTCAGGTTGTAACTACATCAGACGTAACTACCTCTGAGTCCTGCGGGACTGCTCCTGCTACAGTCATGTGCTGTTGTTGTCTTCAGTTGTGCGCCGTGGTGAAAGCTGCGTGGTGGCAGTGACAGCACGGAGACAAGAGAGAAGCACCGGAAGAAGCGAGACTGCCCATCCCTTGTGACGCAGACTGGCGAAGATCCGCTTGTATTGTGAATGGAGAAAGAGCCTGGCGAAGGACTCCATGTTCGCCAACTTCACATTATGCGGCATTGAACGACACCGGATCACTGACTTCACGATCCGCAAGACTGTTCTCCGAATCAAAGGATCTGAGTCTGTCGAGTCTGTGAGTATTAGACCTGTGACTAACATCCAGATTGCAGATTCCTGGGCAAGAATGCGCGACCGGACGTGTCATCGGCTTCGAACAAGATATCCGAGCTTTCCGTGAAAACCGTCGCTACGAATGTCGGTAATTGGTACTTACACCACAGAGTTCTGTCCGGCAACTAAAACAGCTCTACACTCAATGCCATAAGTGCCATGGAAGAATCATTCACGCAATCCTTGCAGAAGAGGAACACCCAACGAAACGATCGCGAATGTCTAAAATACAGGCGAAACAAAGACCTATCCGAGCGCCGAAATCGCTGTGATGACTGTCAGGCTGGAATGAAGCCGACGCGATGTGAGCCTTCGATGGTCCAGTTCCAGCAACGCACATCCAGAAGATGACGAATCGCACGAGCAGGAGTGCCGCAAGAACACAGACCGCTTGGATGATTTGTGTCAAGCTCGCAGACATGAACAACTTCCTTCGTAGATCCAGCAAGATTCTGATAGAAGGCGGCAGCCCAGGCAGTGACCCAGCTGCACAAAATTGCCGGCGTCACGGGCCGAGCTGAGCCCTTAGCAGCGCTCGCACAAGGAACGAAGAGGACATACCGTAAGTATCATGGCTAGCGATTCATAGCCCCCACACACGAAGCCCTTGAGGGTCAGCGGTATAGCCAATGAGTAAGGCAGCAGTGTGTTATATCTCATTGTTGTCGACAATAAATCCCACATGATTGGCGGCAGTCAAGCTTGCAGTGTTGGGGATGAACCCGCGTGTCAGCAACCCACCCTACCTGTTCAGATGCTCGCCTAACAGGTGCTCATTAAATGTAAGTCCCACAACATCCAGATCACGGTGGACCCAGACTGGTCCATCCATCACATGGCGAACACGACGATGGTGAACCCATACCCACCGGGTCTCAGCACATGGCGGACACGACGATGGCAAAACCTGTACTTTCCCAGTATGTGCACATGTGCGCTGACCTTTGGTGACAAGCGTGAGCCACAAGATCGCCGGACATACAGTACTGTACCTCCGGGGCGCTTTCTTCCAAGTCCAAGTCCAAGTCCTAAATCATGAACATGTGAACGCCACAAGGCGACCATGTGGAGCATTCACGCGCCAGAGCATCAAGAGTGACAGCCCGCGCCGTGTTCGAGCTTCACTAAGTCGCCAACTGCATGGCTGCAACACCCCTATGCTACATTCTGCACGGCATTGTGCTCGTGTCCGTTCTGACAAATGTCACGATTTGCATAGTCTACGCACCCCAGACGGGGCCATGCGCGAGGTACAGCCTGCACATCTGGGACGAGGCCATGCACGAAGTCCATTCGCATCCGAATCGTGGACAAGGGGGTGGGGGTACATCCCCGAAGACCGGGCGTACGCGCAGGTCCATCATGGATCACGACGGGAATGTCGATACCTTCACTCCGCAAGCTGGGGACCTGTCAGTTGTATCTCATCCAGGCGAGCTACCGATACCAGACCGAGGTCCTTCAGACCGGGAGGATCCGATCCGTTTCCTCAAGCGTCTTCGACCAGCCCGTGCCAGGCTCACCTGCTGCTCATCCATTTATCGCGTCTCTGTCTTTTGCTAAAGTGAAGGAGGCCATCCCCCGCGTCTTCCATCCGATTGATCATGCCCAAGGACGTGGTGTTCACTGTTCAGTCCAGCCGGCGCGGTGATACGGCGGGAAGTCCTCGTTGCGGCATGCAGAGTCGAGAGGGCTGATGTGTTCGCGATTTCCCTAGGAGCTAGCTGGAGGACCCGTTGTTGTTGGTGATGAGAAAAAGGGATCCCATCGACCCCGGCCAGGGTTAACGTTGAGTCTGATCGCTCGATTTAGCCATTGTTGCGGTACAGTACTACAGTTGAGCTGCTCAATGTTGGCATAGATCTCACACATAACAGCCCTGTGCAGCAAACTCTCTTCAGGGGTACCTGTATACAACCTACATACGTTATTTACTAAGGAAGCCAGATCAAGCTGCAGGTTAAACGAACTACGATATTAGGAATCAGGGAGGACTACATGGCGCCAACCTGGGATCCGAGCTTTGTTGCCCACATGGATATCTGATCTCAAGGATGTACAGGACATGCAAAATGCTCATCGCCGCCGTCCCCCGTCGTCACAGCGAACTCGGCGCACATTGCACACACTTTGGATTTTCGAGCCTGTGCTTAAAACTGTGCGCCGTTGAATGACAAACTCGCAAAGGAAGAGGACGACTACTGCGTGCTCCGCATCACGGGTAGACCTACGCGTATGCACAGTAATTGGTTGAGCGAAATATACCCGAAATAGACACGAAGCAACCAATTACTGAAGTTTATTGTTGAAATAGGAAAAGGAGGTGGCCAAGGCAGGCATGAATATCTCATTTTTTTGGTGAGCGACCCTTGACATACCTGCAGTAGACACCAAGCGGCGACGACCGTTGGGCAAGTCCAGGAGATTTTCCCTGCATCCTGCGTTGAATCGTGGGCATTTACCCGTGACTGTAAATATGTCACGGATATTGGACCCGGGGGGAGGAGGTGGCGATTGGCGACTGGCGCGGTGGCAACTGGTCAGCCCGCGCAGAGACATGCAGTGCGGCAAACAGGCACAGAAGCAAGAGCCTGCGAGGATTTGAACTTCACGGCGAATAGATTCGTGGCCTTGGATCTGTTCAGCAGAACAGGGGTCCAGAAAAGACCCTGCATATGCAAAATGCAAGATGCATATGCTGATGCAGGGCGTACGAGTATACGACGACCATTGCACAGCCACAGACGGGTACCGTGTCGATCACTGCTTCTCCTCACGGCTAGAGTTCGAGGCGTTTGAGGCGCTGAAAGGTGATGAACTTGCAGTTTAGGGTCCCTACTTCGGTAGTTGAATGCCCTCCAGACTTAGATCTATGGGATCGACATAAGAGGTATTCGTACTTCGTAACGAGGAGCCTCGGCTTATGCCTGATGTCAGCATGTGAAGAGAATGAAATGATCGAAAAATAGAAACGTATGTGTGGACTTTCATTCGTTCGCAGTAGGCTTTCGATCACTAGACTCTGTTGCTGTGCTCACCTCGCCTCGACCTGCACTCCCAAGTTCATCCGCCTGCATTCGCTTTAACCGCACTTACATAGACAGAGACTTCAATCAAGCCACAGTGGCGAAGGAGCTTGTAAGGATCTTGGTCAACAACCGGGCCAATGCGTCGATAGAGCTCCTCCAATTCCTGACCGACTTCTCTCCGTCGGTGAGCTTCATAGCCTTGGAGTCTAGCACCTGCTTGACTCGCACCATCTCGGCCGTGTCGCGAAGCACGCGTCCCATCGCATGGTTCAGGTCCGACACATTGTCCATGTCTGTATCTAGTATTGTCTCTATCAGAGACGGGTAGAAGGATTCCAACGGTGTGGTAGTCTGGCGTGCTCGCACCTCGGCATTATAGTTCATGATGGCGTAGACACGGAGCTTGATCTTCATCTCGCGCGCGGACAGACAACATTGAACGTGTCGGAGCTTCATATGCATCTCCTCGCTCAGCTGGGTCAGCGGGTGGGAACTTGTACGGAAACGAACCACCTCTAGAAGCTCTTTGTAGCTCTTGAGATTTCGAGCTGCCTTGTCAGCGAGATCTTGGATAGGCTTGATGTCCATTTCTGTGTGCGCTGCACCCGGAGGGGACCATCTTCCACGAGGATGGTCAGGGGCAGGGCTGGGGCTTCTCTGTCTGCCTCTTGCGTGTGAATTGCGTGTCCCTACTCCCGCAAAGTGGCTTCGCTCATGTGACGGTCTTTCTGGCTTTGGCTCGTCTGGCGGATCTGCCATAGGTGTATCCTTGGGCGAAGGCTCATCGCGCCCACGAGTATGATGTTGCTTTGCTGATGCGCCCTCTGGATTCGTCGGTCGTGATCTTGATTTTGGAACTCCATCGTCTGTATCTTTGGCAGAGAAGCCGTGATAGTTGTTATAAGCGTTTCCACCCGCAGACTCACGATATCCACTCCATCTATGGGAATTGGGTTTTGTGCTGGGCCCGGTGTTTCCGCCTGCGGGATGAGAGTGACGGCTACCGGGTGATGACTTACGTTCACCACTGCGGGACTCGGCACCGCGAGGGGACTTACCTCTTGATGATTGAGGCTGGCCCGGTACACCAGTTGCGAAAGGAATTTTTCGGTCAAATTCGGCCCGCGCTGATGTATCTCTCAGTACTTCCCACGCTGCTTGAATCTTGATAAAATCTGACGGTGAGCCGCCCTTGTCTGGGTGAGCTTGCAAAACGAGACGGTTGTACGCGGCCTTGATCTCTGCGTGTGTCGCAAATCGCAAGACGCCTAGCACTGCATAGTGGTTTGGGGAGGTCATTCTGATCCAGGGTGTATTTGGCAAATCTTGCTTTAGGATTGGGACGAGTGAGGAGAGCAACACCGGAGTGTCATATACAGGGCAGTAGGAACAGGCACGTGTGGTTGATGAGGTTCGGAATACAATTTTGAAGCCATTCTGGCAGTTCTCTCAAAGGAGCCTCTTTAACGAATGTGTGAAAGAACGTCTTGAGAGCAAACAAAGCCATCATCGTGCAAGCAATTGCCTGAGAAAGGCGAAAGAGAGGGCGCAGGAACTACACAAGACAAAGAAAATGTGTCAATTGTCTGGACTGATGGCGGGCACGAGGCGCGTGTTGAGAAGAATCAAGCACTCATTCTTTGTTTACTTCCCAGTCGAAAGTCGACTGTGGCTCAGAATCAGTCGCGCCTCTCGTGCATGTGGCGTCGAGGGCATCTGTGGCGGTGCTCCCCTCACCACCATTGCGTCATCGGTAACACAATCCCGAGCGTGCCCGTGCACCTCGTCGCTGCCCTCTTGAGTCCTCTCCCCCCGCGATGGGAATACCTCGTCGTCCAATCTGCCAGAACCTCTGACACGGAGCATCTAACCAGCTACAGCGACGATGTCTCACATCTCGTAATTGTTCTGCCAGTAGTACTTCCGTACTCCGCGCGGAGCTCCGTCTCTGATGGGCCACGGCTCCCAAAAATGCTGTGGCTGGGACACCATTTTCCCTTTCCTGCTCCGACGTCAACCACGTGTCCTTGTCCCGGCGCGTATCAGAGTTTCCTCTGTCCGATAACCTCCTGAGGGAGCTCCATCTCTTGCTTCCCGTCGAGGCGGTGAATGACATGGCGATCTTACCAACTTTCCACGACGTGCAATTATCTTCAAGTTGGTCGACGGCGACGGAATCCTACTGCAAGCCAAGACTACCGGCGTCGGGTCCTTGAGCCGAAACACCCGCCACACCGCGCTCTTCTCGTGATTGTGGCGGTCACCCAGCGGTCACTGAGGTCACAATCTCTGTGGTGCATGAGGACTCTTCACCAACCGCTTGTCCTTCTGAGCTCTCACGCCCTCTCGCTCAAGTGATAGTGCCTGAGGCTGACGTGGCTCGCCGATCTCCTCGTGCACCGAGACTCGCGAGCTATTCTTGACTCGCCCTTGTCACCAAGGGGAAGAGTCTAGACGATCGAAACCCTCTCCAGATCTAGTGTTGGCAATCAAGGTGTAGCTGGCTGCGAGGTACTGTGTACTAGCTTTATGCACGTTCCAAGGCTTAGAGTAGAAATTCGGCCTTAACCGACACACGATCGGCCAGTCAGCTGATGCTATCTTCGGAACATGCATTTGCCTCCCACCTCGCACCTACTAACCTCATCCACCTCGTCTGGTGCCCATCTTGCCCATCATCGCTACCCATTTCTCGCTTGCAACACTGCCACAGGCACCACACACCCGTCTTAGCCCTCAAGCGACCGTTATACCCCACCTTTTTGCGAAATCTTCGATTCGGCTCTGGAAGACCCGCGTCGCGGCTCCCGCTTGCCTGTCTCACGGCCCTGATTGGCTGCTGCGTCTGCCCTTGCTAATAACCAAGATGATACCGTTCCTGCAGATTCACAACCACTCGATTTGTCCCCTTCCAACCTCGTCCGTGCCGGTCCCGGCAGGCGCCCCTCTTCATTCGCTTTACCGCCAAACTGATAATCCCTGCTGGGCGAAGCCACAGGATATCAACATCCAAACCTTGTCGGCGCAGCGATCCGCTGAGCTCTTGAGAATCATAGTGGTAAACCCGCGTGGGGACACCCTGTCCCCACAGAATTGTGAAGTTGGAAGTCCAGTTGTGCAATCAATATTAGATAGTCGATACATAGAATATTGTAAAGAGGACCTCTAGCAAAGGGTTCGCTCGGGTATCATCCTTTCCAACAAAAGAAAACTCCGAAAAGGTGGGTATCTCGAAATGTCATGTTTCTCGTGAAAAAATATGGTTCGTCCACTCGGGGACTCGTGTATCATCCCGTCGTTCGGATCGTCGTATGCTGTAATGAAGTGAAGTTGAGAAAAAGTGGGTGCAAAACAGTTGTTGTTAGGTGAATCAGCTGCAAATGGTCCGCCTTCCGGTCCGCGCAACTGTACAATTCCAGAATTGCCATCGAGGGTCCGAGCCAAATCTGACCCGGCTTCTCACCGTCAGCGGTAGCAAGTAACGTGAAAGCACCCGTCAGTCGACGACCGGTCCTGAAACGCTTCTCTAGAATTTGCCGCCGTTTGGAAATCGCGTCTTCGTAAGGGAAGGGTAACAAAATTAATAAAATCAGGGGTATCTCATGCAATTTCCATGTCCTCGATTGGTGCGTCGTTCTCAGTAGTTTAACCACATCTCCAGTGGATCCGTTATCAGCAACTCGGTATGTGGCAATTCGCTGTCGACCATCCCTTTCGAAACCGCAGATGCCGTGAATTCGTGTTTCACTGGCTGGTCGGTTTCGAGGGGTGTGAACTCGACGATCATGTCCTGGCCCTCAGGGAGCTCTCTGACCACGTCTTCGTCGACAATGATGTGAAGTCCACGGGAGTTGACATGCGTGACCTGTGTCACTCTCTGAGGATCGATCTGGAACTTATTTGATATGTTATTGACCAGGTCTTTGACTGTTCGCTGCATCAAATACACCGCGCGGTAGTATTCTTTAGCTGCGTCTTTCTGACGCACGTAAAAGCATGCAACTGTGATCCGGTCAGATAGAGGAAGAGGACAGAGCTAGACCACTTACCTGGTCGAATAGGCCGTTCAATGGGAGGCTGATAGCTGCTATCAACATCGACTGCAAAGAGGTCCGACTTCGTGGATGAGTCGGCTTCCGTCTTCACGATCTTGACTGGCCGTGGGGCAGACCCAGATGGTTCATTGTCGTACTCACTTTCTCCCTCCTCCTGGATGGCGGTATGCTGTAGGTCCGAGAATTTTCTCTTTGGCGTAACTTGTGAGGCCGAGCTAGAGGATGGAGAGCCAGCATTTGACGTAGGCGAGTCAGAGGCGCTTTGTCTCGATTCCCAAGTAGATGTCCGTACGATTTCTTTGCCCTCTGGATCGTCGCCCGGTAGTTTGACTGGGTATAGATCTGGATCGTCTTCGAGGTCACCACGCAAGAACAGGACACTGACAGGCCGCGTCGACGAGAACATATCTTGCATGCTCACGAGCTTCATCTGCATATCCTCTTCCGCTGAGAATTTCATACCTTCACCCTCGGAGTCGACAGACCAGGTTCGTTTGTGCTTCAGTACTTTGCCCGGCCTAGATGATGGTGCCTTCGCGATTGAACCGCTCCTCCTCCTCTTCCCAGCGCTTCCCAGGCCTGCCTCGGCTTGAGCAATCTGCTGTTTGAGCTTGTCGATCGTCTTCTTCACGTGGGCTACGTCGTTGGAAAGTTTCCGCTCTGCGCCATGATCACGGAAGAGCTTTACCTTGGAATAGCATACTTCTGGCTGGTTGCTGGCTGTCGGTTCAGGAGTAAGCAACTCCGTTTTGGCACATAGTCGGACGGGAATGCCTTTGACGCCCTTTGAGTGGCTGAAGTCGGTGGATAGGAAGTTGAAGCGGATCGAAATCGAGCAGTCTGGGCCTCCATTGGCAGCACTGGGATACCACGTTACCGCAAACCCGTCGAATGACGCCTTTTCAAGTTGAATTTGAGGTTTTCGCAAATCGTCATCTCCACCTTGGTTGGGTTCGACATATTCTACCGCCAGCAGTCTGCCACCTCGCTGGTGAGCCTCATTCGAGCCCCGGCCTTCTTTCCAGAGCTGCCAACACGCACCGGGTCGAGCTCTTTGCTGTTCGTCCTCAAAGGAAACACGGACGTAGGTCCGGTATTTGAGGGAGGTGTTGTGCGACATGGGAGGCATGGTATCCCATATAGACATGGTGTAAGCTTGGCCTTTGTTGAGGTACGTGATCGGAATCTCATCTGAATGCCGGACCATTGCGGTAGGCGCACTTAGCGTTGTGTGGAAGCGGAATCTGATGCAATTGTCAGTATATCTCTGCTGCGAACTCGAGGATACTGACTTCTCCCCCATCGGCAAATTGGTCATGCCAATACTCCCAGACATAGACTGCTGAATCGGCTGGTTCATGGATTGTTGCTCAACGCCCAGCTCGGCCTGTGTCGGGGTTGTCTTGTGGGGAGTATCGTCCATCGCGACATACCCGGAGTCCTGATGTTGCAGGAACTGCTGAGGAGCGTATGTCTGCTGTTGCTGGGTTGGAACATGGATGGCAGCTTGCTGATGTTGGAAGAGATCCTGGTATGGATGCGGTTGGTGTAGAAGATGCGGGTTGAAGTGATTGAGATGCATGAGTTGTTCCTGAGCATTAAGCCCGTGGACCGAGTGTGGAAGAGAGAGAGGCGTATTCATTCCCATTCCGGGCGTGTGGAGGTCGCCGGCCTGAGGATGATAGAGAGTCCCAAACCCTCCTGGGGTGGGAGTGTAGTAACCCGGAGGCTGGTTGGCAAAAGCAGAGAAGGCATAAGAGTTGGGATCCATCAGAGACGGCGTGAATCTCCAGGCGTCGGCGAAGGGCTTGGGCGTCGCAAGAGTGGCATCTTGCTCCTTTACTCCAGGTTGTGTCTCAAAAGCTCTGGTAAAATAATCAGCGTTGTCGACATGGTCGTCACCAGGCGCGGACACTTGATGCGACGGAGACATGGTCGGCGACTTGAGAGAAAGTTCAAAGTAACCCGACACAGAGGGGTGGGCTGAATGAAGTAAGACATATTCGAGACATACCGTTGAGATGTGGATGGTTCATCCTCGATCGCCTCGCTTAGGGTTGAAGATCTGCGGCCAGGACCCGACTGTCCCGGTACAGCTGAGGGGGTCGCTCCAGGCCCTATGTCGGGAAAGGACTGTCTGAAGGCCGCGTACAACTCCTCGTCTGGCTTCTGAGTATTGCGCCTGTGCCGGTCATAGTCAGCTAGTCAGGAACACGGTATAGGCATGCCGGCTCAAGCCGCCGAAGTGAAACGTGCAGTAGTGGACGCGAAATGACTGACCGATTGCGAAACATTTGCGGCGGAGACAGCGTCTCAGGCTGCAGGACCGAGCGAGGATGAGGTCAAATCAACAACATGGAGCCATCCGATGGTGTCGAACCGTCGAACTAGACGAGGTATTTCAAGCGTCGTGCATGAATGCTCAAGACGGAGTGACTGAATGATCCGGTGTGCCACAGTCGATGGGCTGCTGCGCCTTATGGATTGCGTGCGCGTCGATCGATCGAGGTCGGGCTGAGTCGCGCGTTGGGGTTGCGAAGACTGGGTTCGCGACGTGGACTGGGCTCCCTTGGGGGTGCGAGCGAGCAATATGAAGATGGGAAAAAATAGACAAAAAGATCGACGAGGTACGAGGTTAAAGGGCAAGGTGAGGTGTAGTACTGAGGCAGGTGTCGCACGCGGTGGAGCGAGTCTCGTCAAGGTGAAGTGAACGGACCGGGGTCGTCAAAGAGATGGTTCTGATGGGGCCTCGGGTGCATCAGCAATAGAATTGGCACTCTCCATGAAGGTTAATGCGGGCCATGGATCAAGGGTACGCGGGAGGGGATGGTGAAGCAGACAGCGGTGGATTACGGGAGTCTAGCGGACGGTAAGAATTGGGATGGGATGAGATTTCGATTCGATCGCAATCCTCACTCCTTCACTCACTCACTCACTGAGCACCCGCGCCCACGTAGCGAAGGCAGGTACACGGGACTCCGTCCGGCATCAGGCAACATGGCCCATGTTTAGTTCGGAGCCTAATCAGCGACAGCCTAAGCAGGGATTCCCTGCGCCTAATTCTTTAACTGAGCCACGCCTGGAACTGTCCACTTTGGAGCATGCGGGTTTGATTGGAGCAGGCCGCGGAGCAACGCGTCCCACAGGGTTAGACTGGCAACGAGACGTGGCGTCAAATTCATTTTCCGTGACAGGCCGTGGCATCACGAGTGGCACCTCTCGCCAGCGACGTGGCTTGTTTCGGCTGTGGTTGCTGGCCCGAGGGCCACTTCCGGGGGCATCGCAGGCGTCTGACTGGCTAGCCACGGTTTCAAGAAAGGGCGACATCTGCACCTCTGCCACTCTTGCTCGCTCTGACCACTCCCTCCTCTTCCCTCAAGACTCTGACAGCTTTGTGCCTGGTCAATCCCGTCCTCCTCGTCACCAAGGCTGATCCTTACCTTGTAACGGCAGATGTGGTATATTTCCTTCCCGCCCACGGCCCAGGCAGCATGATCGACGCACAGCCACACGTCGTCCGACGATCACCCCTCTCGCTGTGTGGCTTGATAAGGGTTTGTTCTCGAGGGAACTGTGGCGTCGCTGTGGCAAACGGAACAAGAGACCGACTGATGGCTCGCGCCATCTCGCAGCAAATCAAACCGGCCCCGGCAGCGCAATGCCGGCTCTTTCGGCGTGAGCACGTAAGAGTCGTGAGGGCGCATCCACCGGTGGTACCTGTGGCTTGACCCTTTTGTTTCCTCCATCCTTCGTGTCCCATCTCCATTCTCGCTTGCCGAGCGCCTCCCACATCAGACCGCACTGAATTTCTGACTGTTCTCCATCCTTTTCTGGAGCGAGATGACGGCCAGATCCATGAAACACCCGTCACTGCCTGCTCACCCAAACGTAGCTGTTTGACTATCCGCGCAACAGACCTCATCGGCGAGCTAACACCTCGTACTGTGCACTCGACTAAGCATAGTTTTGCTGATCATCCCCACGTGCAGAACCAATGCACCTCCATCCCTTGCTGTCGATCGATCCTTTTTGATTTGGCCTCAGATAGCCCGCTCTCCCAATCAGGCCAATTGTGTCCTGCAAGCGATATCACAAAGGCACAACTGACTCATGAGTAGCGCCTTGTCCTGGTTTGTACGCGTGTACAGCGGAAAAGATCTTCTGGATAATAATAGTCGGGACTCGATCAGAGAAGAAATCTTTTCAGTGGTATTATTCCGTGACATCGCCCAGCAAACTCCACAAGAACAAGTACCGGCTGTTCGGCTAGTCCACATGGATATGACCTCACCCGCGCACACTTGGAATTGTGCCCAACAAGCGGGTGTTGTAAGCTTGGAGATGAAGTAGCACATCCTTCAGCACATTTGGAGCGAGCACCTGATCACAGCGATGCGCAGTCGGAACAAGAGGCGCCACAGAGTTCTACCCAATAACTGGATACGCGCTTCTGTACCTCAAACCACACTGCACAGGTGGGCACGAAGTGTGAGGCACCTACCGAGATTATTACATCATGGTGGTGCTATCTGGCCAACCGTTGTGGCTGCAGCTTTGGAAGATGAAACGGAACGGGCGCACAAAGTGCTTTTGCGCGACGGTCAAGTGACCCTGTGACAATCTCATGGCCGATTTTACGGGTGAAATTCGTCATTCGCGCTAGATGCGGTCATACTTAACTCTACTGTCCATTGCCCGATTTCCTACCACAACGAAGCTGCTGAGTATGTTGCGGGCATGAATGATTGGACATTTGACGCGAGCGTTCTCGGGCGGAAGTGAAGGGCGCGAGGACAGTCTTACGGTTTGCGCCGGAGAAGGCCATCAGAACCGTCTCTATGATACGCAAACAGAGCGGTGATTTGAGTGGATTCTTCAAGGTGACGCCGGCAATCTCGATTAGAGCCACTGGGAACGTGGGTGGAACAAATTTGGGCGGGTGAACAGCGCCTGTGATGCTCACCCATGAGGCCATCACCGCGCGTGGAATGGCTCTCTAGGCTCCCCTAAGCTCCCCAGCCGCAACACCAGATCGGGCTCGGGGCATGATCCTAATAGGCGAGACGAACTCTCACTCGCCACACACCGGAAGCCCCACGACTTATTTCCTGTTAGTCGGACCGGTGCATTGTTCCTGCGGTATCTTCCAGATCCTTACTCAGTACGGAGTACAGACGTCCTCTATAGGCTAGTCCTCCGTATTCTGTTGCAGCTGTTTTGTAGCTGTTTGAGGAAGCTGGCACATCGTCATCACGGATTTCCGCCTTTGCACGCTGTCTTCCTCGTGTCTGAAATTTCGCCAGGAGATTGCGCAGAGACCTCGAGTATATTCTCCGAGATGCCAGGACCAGACCTGCTCATCCGGCCCAGTAATGAGCTTCCGACAAGCAAATTTGCCAATCTTCCAGAAGCGGCATCTCTTCAGGCTCAGTCTTCTAGCACCATCCCTTGCTACGCGGTAACCAGCGCCGCTTCAGATTTCTCGACAGTGGTTTAACTTTGCCGAGCTTGCCTCCGGAGCCGCAGAATGGCTCTCCACACACGTAGCACGATCATTAATCTGTGGCCTACGGCACGAAAAGACGGAAGGTGGAAGACGCGCAATCTGCCCACCGTTGTGCGCCCAGAGTCCAGTGTTCTTGGAACTCCACAGTTAAAGGTGACAAGTAACGCCACATTGCTGCGCCCCAGTGCGCCACAGCGCCACACGATCTCTGCTAATGTGGCGCAAATGGATCGGCGCCCTGACTTCACCCCTGTGGCTCGAACGTTGCAACGGTCGGTCCAGAATTTGAGCAGCACAGCAACATCCCCTCTTCGAGCTGCGTAAAGCTCAGAACGCGGATATCCCGGGAAATAGTTCGCGATATTGAGTTTAAACTGATGCTGCGGAGTCGCTGGCCACCTCTGTGGGAGGTGTTGCTTCCACAAACGACGTACAAATCCCGCGAGGGCGAGCCACTCAGGTTCATCGGAGACCCAATCCACGACAACCCCCTCTTCCCAGCTGGCGGGAGCCGGCTCTACATCCCGTGAAAGAGATTGACCTGCAGCACCGTTGTGCAGCGTGGGCTCGGGCTCGAACGTGGCCTTCTACAGCAGGCCATGGACCTCGCCTATTGCGTCTACCCGGGTCGATCCAACCGGTTCAGCGGTATCACGAATCTCGTGGTTCGCGAGTATCACCTGAACACGTACTCAGGAAAGACACGATTCGCATTAGCGAGTGGCGATAGTCCACACTATTCATCCTTTGCAACTGTCAGGTCACAGGTGCTCGTTTAGATGCGTTGGCTTCGACCTGGACCGAACATCCGGGTTGAGCAACCACAAGCGATTGGTTTGGCTGAAGCAGGGCATCTCACGCCTGCTGCTCTATTTTTGTCATCCAGTGTCTGTGCCATCGCGTTCCCCCTTCAGCTCAATTCTTGCCTCACGGACCGTCCAGGCGTCTAACCGTGGCTGGGAGGGCTTGAGTTACTGCAAAATTTGAAAGTGTATTGGAAGTTTCGTCTTTCGCGAGCATCACCAGAGGAATAGGACCTTTCTTACTGGGGTACCGCCCACCTCTTCCAAGTCCTCGAGCGATCGTGCCAACCGGTAGCAATGGTTTAGACCTCCTGCAATGCCCTAACACTGACAGTTTCCTGAGTTTTCGCATCTTTGACAAGGCCTCGGGATGGCAAGCAAGGTATTGCAACGCCTCAGTACACCGTGGGATAGGCCGCTATTGGATGATGCTTTGCTTAACATGCACCTGCGACAGCCACTTCTGCTCATGCTGCCAAAGCAGGATTTTCAAGTTTCCCGTCGTTGCTTCTCCATTTCAGGCAGACCGAGGACTTGAGGGCTGGCTGCGAGCACGGACGTGGAGTCTGGGAGCTGGAAGAAAGTAACAAGCTCAGCATGCTCAAAGCAGACAACTATCGGCTCCGTCCCTCTTCCTGTCTGAATGACTTCTGCCTAGTGGGAACAGCCTCGTTGCTAGGAGATTGCCAGTTTTCAGCGACTCTACGCATAGCAAGTTTTGAGGGCGAGTAGCTCAGCGTGTTAACGGCGATACTTCTGTTAGATACCCTACTAGGTTGTCGGCATAACCTCGTCTTCCACTCTGAAATTCCTATTGTGAGAGGCACTCGAACATCCCTACGACAAAGTCTGAAGCATCAGATATGCTGGATTCAGCCGTTAGGAAATGTCGAAACGTGCCAAAGCTCTTCGTTGTCGACACGTGCAGGGAGCTGAGTGACCCCCTGGAAGACCAGCCTCGACTCCCTTTCCTGAATCAAATAGAGTGCTTCAGCCTGATGAGCTGAGCAGTTGCTTGTCAAGCTGCCGAATTGAGTCTAGCCCAGCCTCATTTGACGTCGTCGCCTCGACGCTTCCGACTTCCATGACGCATGGCGTCGTACTTGCCGGATCCGCAACAGATTCTGACGTTTACATCTGTAAGTGGACATACTCCACGGTTGCGCCACCAGCCGTTGCTTAATCATACAGGTAGGTCGTGACGATGACCTGCTTCGATGCACAGACGGCGCCACGGACTCCGTTGATGACGCCCTCGGTCATCGATGGAGCATTCATGGTATTCATGGTAGGTGAACAAAGCTCAGACCAAGCTTTTTTATCAACGCTCTTTCTCTCCGTTGAGGTGCAGCTTCTGGAGCGTTATCACAGCCAGCCTGTCGCATCCAATCCGCTATCATGCGCCTTCTGACCATCAGCCTCTTAAGCCTGGCCTGGGGATGCCTAGCCTGGGCCCAGAATGCTAGTCTGACCCAAGGCAACACCATCTCTACGGAAGGACTTGTAGCCAACAGCACGCGGTTTAATACTATCCTCCGCGTCGACAATGGCACCTACGGCCCGCCGGTAGAAGAGGTACACTACTTCTACAAGTACTGGCCCATTGGTATTGCCGTTTCGAGCACGTCGAGGATCTTCGTCTGCTATACGCGCGGCGAGTATGACTATACCGTCGCCGAGGTCAACAGCAGCACAACGGAGACACCATACCCGTCGGCTGGGTTGAATTTACCATCTGACGCGCTCAACACCACGTTTAATGGTATAGACTTTGGCAGTGCCAACTCCACGGGTCTGATAAGTGTGCAGGCTCTGTACATTACCCCCGCACAGAATGCCTCGGGCCGCCCTGAAACACTGTGGCTGCTCGACACAGGTCGACCAACCATCCAGTCCGCCTCCACCGGGAGCTACAGTATGCCCTACGCCCAACCCGGCGGACCTAAAGTTGTGGGTGTGAACCTGTCGAACAATACCGTCTACACAACATATACGTTCCCATCGACGGTGCACTACCCCGATTCGTACATGAACGACGTCCGCTTCGACCTGCGCCCCGGCCGCGAGGTCGCCTACATCGTCGACTCCAGCAACGAGGGCCGCAACGGGTTCATCATGTTGAACCTGACAGATGGGTCGTCTTGGCGACGGCTAACGCAACATCCCTCCGTCTTAAGAACATACAACGCCTTGCCATCCTACCAAGGCCATCCGTTCTACTACCGCAACCCAGGGATGAGTCTCGGCCACCAACAAGAAGGGCTCGACGGCATTCAGATCTCCCCGGATGGCAACCATATCTACTACTCTCCACTGACGTCCCAGAACCTTTACCGTGTCCCAACCGCGAACCTTCTCCTTCAAGACTCCCAATCCACACTCGCCGAACAGGCTGCCTCAAACAACGTCTCCTGGCTGGGCCAGCGCGGCGGGGAAGCAAACGGCTTCGAAGGCGACTCCAACGGCTTGGTCTACATGCTCATGCCCACACACAATGCTGTCTACTATTACGACCCGGGCGATCTGCAAGTCCACGGATTCATCCGTGATCCGAGGGTTCTTTGGCCCGATAGCGCGAGTATTGGCGAGGACGGCTATTTCTATGTCATCATCAACCAGTTGCCATATCAGGATGAGTGGAACGATGGCGTAAACCTGAGGACGCTTCCAGGAGCGATCCTGAGGGCCAAGTTGATCAATGGGGGTTCGAAGATCATGTCCTTGTTGTAAAGGTGGAAGGGTTTAGGCTGGTACCGGTCATGAAGTTGGACAGATCAACATGTATGCTTACGGTTCACGCGGTGCCAGTGCAAAGGTGACCTTGTTCGGCCGAAGTTGTTCTACAGTCTGGTCGGCGAGCTGCCATCCAACCAGATGCGCGTCAAGGACCGCCGTCGTCGCGCGAACGGTATTCAACCTCGACTCGACGATCACCAACAGCCTGAGCCAATGGATGCTGAACCTGCTGATATGGAACTGGCGCGGAACAGGTCGCTTCTTCTGCGGAGTCCTCAACATGATGTACCTTGTTGATTGCTCCTCTCACACCCAGGGACGTGAGGCTTGATCTTCCACGTACTGGACATCCTATCTGAGAAGGATGCGGTGCGGTGAAGGTTGCAGTCTTCCAGGTCATATCGGAGGCGGAAGGATATTATCGTCTGACCAAAGGACTGGATGTTAGTAATTTATAGTAGCGTTTCGTAGCCACTACTTGTAAGCACGGAAACCCGCTGCTGTGATAAGACGAGTCTGAAGCCTCCTAGAACCATCATCTGAAGGTTGACAGTGGATAAAGTTATGATATCAGCAGAGATTCACCTTTTCCTTGCTGCTCGCTTATCAAGTGCGGTGGATCACAAAACCGCAATTTGCTCTTTCTACGGTACGGTGCAGAAACCCGATATGACAATCCTTCAAGCGATCATTTCGCCGCAACAGCCCACACATAGAGTATCCGACTGTCCCACCAGCCAGTAACGCTTGTGAGAGTTTCTACACGAATACCGACCTAAAGCGACTGACCCAATTGAGCGGTCCGGACAATGCATCTTCAGCCCTGAACGCTAGCATGCCGCGCGCGACCAAATCCACACGCCACACGCCAGGCCTGCCTTCGTCGACCTTCGTCCTCGACAACGGCGCGTACAACATAAAAGCAGGGTTCGCGCCCGCAGGCCCGGCCTCTGACGCCGCGGCTCTACAAAAATGCAATACCATCCCCAACTGCATCGTGCGCACGCGCGACAAGAAGACCTACATCGGCGCGCAAAGCGAGAAAATCACACAATGGAGCGAGTCGTTATTTCGACGGCCGGTGGAAAACGGCCAGGTCGTCAGCTGGGAGACGCAGAAGGAGATCTGGGATGAGAGTTTCTTCGATGACAAGACGGCGCGGAACGACCTGCTGGTGAAACACCCCGAGGAGACGACATTGTTGTTTACGGAACCGCCGAACACGATGCCCGAGTTGCAGAAGAATGCGGATGAGATCATCGTCGAGGAATGGGGGTTTGGCGGGTATGCGCGGGTCCTTGGTAGGTACGGCCAAGATTGAGTCCGCCCTTGGGGCCGAAAGGGCTGACGATATTGGCAACAAGGCCCGTCACTTAGCGCGTACAATGACCTGCATCCACTGTTTGAGGGAGAATCTTACGCGAATTCCGACAATGCGGATCTGCCCGTGGAGTGCGTCCTGGTTATAGACAGCGGGTACAGCCACAGCACGGTCACGCCGCTGTTCAACGGCCGGCCGATTCATCGAGCCATCCGCCGCCTCGATTTCGGAGGCAAGCACCTGACGAATCTGCTCAAGGAAATCATATCGGTGCGGCACTTTGATCTCCACCAGGACACCAAGATCGTCAACGACATCAAAGAGGAAGTGTGTTTTGTGAGTGACGACTTCCGACGTGACCTCGAGAGGACATGGAAGGGCAACAAAGGCCGGCGTCAGCAGGTGGTCGCTTCGAAACCCACCCAGGATTCGGGGCAGGCAATGGACCTTGGCCGACCTGCTTCCCAGGACCAGGACGAAGAGCTCCGCGTCGATTACATCCTCCCCGACGGGATCCGCCTGCTCCGCGGCTTCTCCCGCCCGCACGACTCCAGCACCAGTGCTCAAAGACGGCGCAAAGCCGCTGCCCTCGCTGCCGATCCCGAGGCAGAAATATCCATGACGCTGGGCAACGAGCGGTTCTCAGTGCCCGAAATCCTCTTCTCGCCCAGCGATATTGGGTCAAAGCAGCCTGGCCTGCCGGACATCGTTATGCAGAGCCTTAGTGTCTTGCCACCCCTCGTGCAGGCGACCATGCTGAGTAACGTGCTCGTCGTGGGCGGGACTGCAAAGATCCCCGGTCTAGTGGAGAGATTGCAAGCCGAGCTTCGAATGCGGGTCAAGACGGAATGGGCCGTCAGGGTGAGGAAGATGCCGGATCCGACAACGAGTACGTGGCTTGGGGGTGCGAGGTTGGCGAGTCACTGGCCCGAAGTGGTCAGGGAGTACGGTGTCACTAAAGAAGAGTACTACGAGCACGGAAGTGCCTGGGTCGCACGGCGTTTTGTGAGCGGTGGGAGCGGGAAAGGACCTTGATGTTCTGTGCTTCAGGTGAATCACTATCAACTTTTGAACATCATCAGCCGCCTGCTGCTGGGGTTACTAGGGCTTCCAGCACTCTTCCTATTACTTGCTCACACGCTGAATGGCTCTCTCCACCCTGCTCGCCTGGATTCCCGGCTCCGTCGGCTCTTGCAGACTAAAGATCTCAAGACAAGGAAAAAGACGCCCGCAAAAATACCGCCCAGCATGAAGCCGACTGACACACGCCCAAGCTTAGATCTCGTCGCATCAACGTTGTCGAAATTGCGGGAAGTTGACGACGGGTCGGGCGCCGTGGGAGCCGGAAGATGTGCGATGTAATCCGTCTGCATGGGGGCGAAGACGTCGACATGGATCGACGGGATGTTCAAGGCCGTTGTCGTTGCGACCGGTGCTGCGTCCGCACCAGGGAAGGGCTACTGGGGAAAGCCATGTCAGCAAGTATCCATGGATGCGGAAGGGAATTCACAATTCACGTACCCAGGTGTGTGCTACATCACCGAAACCCTCGAAGAATGTCAATCCTAGTCCAGCAGCCGCCACGAGGGCGTTGGCTCGTCGACCTGGTTCTGTGTCTGCATCTTCCTCCCTAGTTTGAGGATGGAAATGACGTGGACGGTCGCTGCCGGGACGATGGAATGGAGAAGGGCTATTAATGGACTCTCTACTGTCGACGCCAGAGACGTCATTCTCGCGCTGGGCTCTCTCGCGTCGATTGCGAGCGGTACTCCGAGGATTTCTTGCCCAAGTGAGACAGTTAACTCGAGGAATGTCGTTCTCGGGTGAAGTATAGAGGACGCCATGAGAGGTTATGGTATGACTGGAGTCCTCAACGCTACCACCTCGGGTGAGGCGGCGATGGCGAGGGGGGCGATGCTCATCCTCGACCTGGAAATTGGCAGAAGCGAAGGGAGTATCATGCCGCTCGAGATCGGCTCGGTTGGAATTGCCAGGGCTTCGACTCCGATGGACGTGTGTTACTGTGGAGCCCAGAGAGAGTGTAGCTGATACTCTCTCGGCTTCGATATTTGCACTTGGATGTTGCTCGTCCTGGCCACACCTGCGCGTATGATCCTTGAAATGCGCACTATCTGAGCTCGCACCTGCGATCCCATCCTCTTCCCTTGCATTTTTATCTCGCTGGTCCTGGCTGGAGGCTTTCTCGAACATGTTGATCACCTCGGTAATCCCATTCCCATTTTCGCGTTGAGGACTAGCTGGTCGATGCGCAGGAGTAGAGTCGCCTTCAATAGTCGGCAGGCTTCCTAAGGGCTGCTCGTTGGAATCTGTATATGTGTCCACGTCTTCGTAGTAGACCACCCCAGGATACGCACCCTCGGGATACTCCCCTGGCGGATACCGCGGGTTGTCATCGTACTCGACTTCAAAGGACTGGTCAGCAAAGTGAGGGTCAGTGTAATGATAGGCGTGGAAGGAATGCCCTTGAACACGATCCTCGTTGGGAAATATATTTCCTGAGATATGAGGCCGGGAACGCAGTCTGTGTCTGTTCCTCTGGCGGTCGCCCGCATGATGAGATTGTCGAGTGTGAGGGACTGGCTGAGACGACGCGAGGTGGTTGTGAACTGTGTTGGTGATACGAACTTCTCGGCCTACGGCTAGGTCGCTTCTTCGCCGGGTTGTTCTGGCCATTTCCTTTTGGCGTGTTGGTTTGAGAGGAGGATGAGCCAAGTATAGGGAGGTCAATGCAGACAAGTAATGGAAGAGACATGGTAAAACCGAGGAGCTATATAGGACAGAGCGCAGCAGGGTGACAAGGAGAGTGGGTGGTGTTTCATTCCCAGCAAACAGGACTGCCAGCGTCAGCTCGGTGACTGTCACCACCGCCTTCACTGTGGTTTTCGCCCATCGCTTACCCTCTGGTCCTCCTTGACCGAATTCTCATGACCGGAGACGGCATTGCCGTACACGGCACAAAGTGAAGGCAGGATGAGAGTCGCGCCGTGCACAGCTCCTAGCTTACCTCCACGCGTGCACCAGCGGGCGCTGATGGAGAATGCAACGAAGTTGCGAACTCATCTCTCACTTTGGTCTAAAAGGTAGTCCACAGCTCTCACAGCGTCTCTGTTGTCTCAAGTAGCTTTGCTTTCATGCTCTATATGTATGTACCTTAGACGTCAGCGAACAGGAAGCCGAGCCTCAGCCACGCAAGCCCCACGCGTCAATCGACAGGAGAATTCCGATCGATCTTGCTGCGCTTCGCACCGAGAACACCTCATCTTCTTCCATTCAGCACAATGAAGAATCCTAGTATCACACCGCCTGAGATCGAGGTCCAAAGAACAATCCTCGTTCTCATCCTCCGCACCCTCGAGGCGGGATGAGCAGCGCAGATGGCCAGCAAGATCACCTCAACGGACACTCCGGCTTCATTCTCGCCGTCTTCTGCGTCGTATCAGCGCTGGTGATATGGCCGCTCAAGATCCCACTCCCAGCATACTTGCAGGATCTCCTGCTGTCGACGCTGTTGAAGACCCGAATTATCGGCCGCCATGAGTTCGTCGCCCTGTCGAACCGACGTCTCCATATCCATCTATCGCTTACGACAGCGCCAGTGATGGCGGTGATCCTGCTGCTGGCAACCACGACGATCCACGGCTCGACCATCCGCCTCGGCATCGTCGGCGACGAGAATGTCAAGCCCTACGACGTGCTCGTTCTCTTCATCTCCCTCGCCTACATCTCCATCGCCCTAGACGGGACCGGCGCCCTCGAAGCTACGGCATTCTACGTCTCCAAGCGGGGCGGCAGTTCCGGACGCCTGCTCTTCACCTATCTGTACGCCTTCTTCCTGCTGACCGCGTGTATCGTGGGTAACGACCCGCTCATCCTCTCCGGCACGCCCTTCCTCGCCTACCTCAGTCAGCACACGGGCCTGGATCCCACGGCCTGGATCTTTGCCGAATTCATGGCCGCGAACACGGCCTCGGCGGTCCTCGTGAGCAGCAACCCCACGAATATTCTGATTACCGGCAGTTTCGGGCTCAATTACCTGACGGGCTTCACGAAGTGGACGGTCCTTCCATCGCTCGTCCCCGCGGCGTTGAACTACCCTATCTTGTTGGGTATGTTCTGGAAGAAGATCCCCCGGACGCTGACGCCCCTCACAGACGACCCATGGAGCAAGCTCCGTGACAGGACTGGCGCGTTCTTCCTCAGCGCACTGATGCTCATCACCGTCGCTGTGCTTGTGGGAACGAGCTTCGTGCCAGGCCATGCAGTCGAGGTGTGGATGGTGACTGCGCCGGCCGGGGTGATTGCATTTTTGTACAATGTGGTGACGGACTGGATTCATCCAGAGACCGGCCGGATGTTTGAAATTGCCAGACATCGATCGCGTGGATCCGCCACTGACAGGGAAAGGAACAGAGGGGCAGAAACGGAGATGGAAATGGGTACAATGGACTGCACGAGTCCAAAGCCTACACAAGCACTAGCCTCGAGCGCAAATCAGCCAGCAGATCCTGAGAAGGGAAGCCTTGGCCAGCCGGCCTCCAATACTTCGCACTCTCGATCACCAACCCTGCCAGCAGGGGACGACGCAACCGCAGAGACAAAGCTTCAAAACGACCCAAATTCCTGTCCTTCGAAACCGCATTCACCATCACTATCACCAGCACCACAAATCCCCGCGAGAGACGAATCCCTCAACATGACCGCCGCTGCATCTACATCTTCACCACTGAATGCAGCCTCCCCAGCAACACTGACCTCCCTCATCGACGCCCTAGGCGCCCGCTTCCCCCGAACAACCCACACCCTCAGGCTCCTCCCTATCCCTCTCCTCCCCTTCGCGATGTGCGAATTCATCCTCGTGCGTGGCCTCGCACAACGCGGCTGGATCCGCGTCTTCGCCACGGGCTTCGCCCACGCATGCACCTCCCCCGCCGCGACGGTGTTTTTCTTCAGTTTTGTATCCGCAGCCTTCCTGTGTCCTCTGGCGGGGACTAACATCGGCGCAACCATCATCCTCGTCGAAATCATGCGCCATGAGCGATTCATGGGGAGCGCGCACGTGCGGCGCGACCTCCGGATCATGCCCGCCGCAGTATATGCCGTGGCGATGGGCAGTAATATCGGGGCCTTTGCGTATACGTTTGCGGGAAGCCTGGCCGGACTGTTGTGGCGGGGGTTGCTTGCCGAGAAGGGCGTGGTGGTCTCGCAGGGCCGGTTTGCCAAGGTCAATGCCCTGCCGCTTTTGATGCAGGTTGTGGTGAGTGCCGCGGTGGTGTTGGGTGAGGTGTATTGGTGGGTGTCTTGAGGTTTTACTCCGAGAAAACGGTAGCTGGATGTGTCATGGTCTGTGTTGTAGTTGTAAGCGACTAGACTACAGAGCTTGAACATGATGTGCGCCTTCGATCATCGGCATGCTAGGAGACAACCCAGCCATTATCGTTGCTGGTTGGAAATCGGGTAGGCCGAGACTATATCAGGAGCCAAAGTCCCTCGTCCTGATGCACCAGTCAGAGAGATGTGTGCCCGGCAACGAATTGATCGTGACCTGCGGCATGGTCCGCAAAAGCTGCCTGTTGGACTTCGATGAGGAGAGAATCGGAAGAACGGAAACGATACACTGGACGGAGACTGAAATTCCATGACATTTGTATCCCACGCTCAAGGTTGGGATATAGAAAACCAAGAAATCTATTTCCATGTCGTTCGCGCGGCCGCCACCAGGTACTGGTTGCTCGTGGTTTGACGGAGGCCGCTGGGTGCGACTAGATATCTATCCAGGCATATGCAGAGTGAAACCTCATCCCGCGACCACATTCACGGGAAAGACTTGCTACTACTTTGCATTGTGTTCCTGTGGTTGGGTTGCTCCCAACGTCTCGTCCCTCGCCTCACGGTCGGTGTGTATCTGACATCTCTACCATCAGCACTTGAGCGTCTGGCAGTGGCAGAACTTGCTACGAGGGCATGCATCAGGATTCTGTACCCTGTTACCGTACTTACGTCGGCTTCACTCGGCGTAGCGTTCTCCTCCGTCCAGTGGCGATTATATGTCTTGTCCGGCAGCTTCTCCTGCGTGAGGCTGGATTCGGGATGAGCTTTGATATCAGCTGCGCGCTGGGCACGGTGGAGAGCAGTCGGCTGGAATGCGCGGGAGCTGGACGTGAAGCACCTCACTGTGGTTGAGGGCAACGGCCGGGCCTTTGGAATGAAAATGTTGGGTAACCTCATGATTGATATGAAATGGTGGATGGAGTCAGGAACAGCAACGGAGGATGGATTTCGACCCTCCACTGAAGATAAGAAAAGACGAGAAGAAGCTCCGAAAAGAACACTACTGCTGTTGGCCAACGGCGAAGACCGCATGCTGTATCCATCCAGGTCCGGTTGTCAGTCAAAGGCCGGTGATTAAGGTTTGAACGTGGTGCGATGGCGATGTGTAATCCGTGCCGCTCACCGATTGACTGGTGTGCGAGATTTTCCAGCACGCTTCGAATTCAGACCTTTTCACTTCTGAGCAGATCACAATGCTGATAAAGGCTAGAATGTCATTCTCTCGGTTTGAACACTGGAAGAGAATAACCGCGTACACCCAGTTTCTTCCACCTTGTGCAGGTCCGCGGTTGAACCAGCAGGAATACGTCGCGATCTTCCCACTGCTCGGCCACACGATAATCCCAAGTTAGACCCTTGTGAGACGCAAGAGAATCGATGGCAAAGCTGATGCATGAGAGATGGTCGCTCGATGAAGGTGACCAAAGCCAAAAGGAAGCGACACGAGATGAAGCAAGAACCACCGGCACGTGCGCACGTGATAATGCAGCTCGCTTAGTCATTGACGGTGTGCCATCCACCGCTGTTGCTGTGGCAGCGATCGAAGTAAACATTCCATCATCATCAGAAACTGCGGCGACGTTAACGACATTGACGACATCCACGCCATCCACAACATCGCCAACAAGCACCGATGTCGACATATCTCTCTGACGATGATCTGTCGGATCTACCAGATCTCGACGTTCTCTTCCCACCCAAGGCGCTGATGGCTACAAGCGCGAATACTGGCCTTCGAAGATCTCCCCGCAAGAAGATGGCGGCCCAGCCTCCCTCGACTGAAAAGAGGGCACTTCCCGAGTCGAAAAGCCCACGAAAAGAGGACCGATGCGCGGGCACTCGGCAATTGAAAAAGGCCGGTACGCTTGAACGAGTGGCCGCATCAAAGAACACCAGCACCTCTCTGAAAGCGATCCCACTCCTGCCTCGCAATACGACGGTTTCCGAGACACTACTCACGTCCAACAATCGTCGGTCACCGACGAGTCCGCAAAGGAGTGTGAGACCTGCTCATCTCGACTCTACCGTCGTACACTTGAAGGCTAAAGCGGTGGAACGTGATTTTTCGGAGCCTGCCCTGCCTGCCAAAGCAAAGAAAGCATCAGCAAAAGGAGGGGTGAAGTCTCTTGTAGAGCCTGAATCACGAAGGTCGAACCAGACAACAAGCAGAGCCAACCAGAACCTAATACCACACTACACCAGCAGATACGTCTTGAAGGAGGCTCGTTGCAACGACGATGAAGAGGACTCCAATGATGAGGACGAGGACGAAGATACAGATCTGAGTGGCTTCATTGTTGCCGACGATGCTGAGCTCAGCTTCTATAATACTTCTGCCATGGGGTCGGACGATGAGAGTGATAACCCGAGGACACCGCCCAACCGAGGACCACAAAAAGCTCCACGACGAAGGTTACATCGTGGATCACCGACTCGGAGGAGGTTGACCTTTGGCGATGATAGCAAGGAAGAAGACGCTGACAAGGAGAACCGCGCCGCCGACGTTCTATTGAACGCTTTGCAGAATATCTCGCTTGAAGACAAGAAGCCTACTCAGACGAAGGAAGAGGTCGAAACAATTGACCTCACCTCTTCCCCTATCGTCTCTCCGGAGTCCAAACTGAATCTTCGACCAACTTTACCCTCAGCTCAAACTCAGAAAGTCAAGGTCGAGAAAAACTCATGTCTCAACTCAAATCCTTTCAAAGACTTCGACGCCATCCTGAAATTGGACCCGCCGTCGTCCAAGCCCGCCCTCATGATTCCCTCAGGAGACCTGCCTTCTAAGAAGGCTATTGAGCGAGACGATGCAGCAGAGGAACAGAGACCTGCAAACGAGCCGGACTTGCGATTCACAACACCGCCAGCGACGCCTCCCCGCTCTGCCTCAAAGCTCAAGTCACCCTCGAAGCTTTTATCGCCGTCTAAGAGACAGGCTATCCCGCAGTCACCCCACCGTCAGAGTATGGACGCGTTCTGGGATCATAACGTGATCAATAAATGGAACGATGAATTCTCACCGAAAAAGGCACCGGCATCATCACCTGGGAAGCGAGGACTAGGCGGATTCCAGATCTGGTCCGACTCAGAGGACACTCTCGATAGTTTTGACTCACTTCCCAGTCCGTGCTCATCACCTCGCAGGTCAGGATCACCCATTAAAAGTCCCGAGAAGGAAGAGAAGAAGCGCATTGCTGAAGAGAAGCGTCTCGCCGTGGCGCAAAAGAAAGCCTTTGATGCGAAGAAAGAACAACTGGCGCTCTCCCTCCTGCACGAGCTCGACGAGCACGTTGCGAACGGACAACTCGACAAGCTATCATCCACCACGGGCGGCGTCAAAGTCATCTGGTCCAAGACCCTCCGCTCCACTGCCGGGCGAGCGAACTGGAAACGCACCGTGACCAAATTGTCAGGCTCACCAATCAAAGGATGTTCCGACCTGAGTGATGCCGGGGTGAAGGTCCAGCATTTCGCGTCGATCGAGCTCGCGGAGAAGATCATCGACTGTGAAGATCGACTGGTCAATACCCTGGCGCACGAGTTCTGCCACTTGACGAATTTCATGATCAGCAACGTGCGCGATCAGCCCCATGGGGCGAGTTTCAAGAAATGGGCTCAGAAAGCCACGTCTCACCTACGCACCACGAGCGTCGAGTCATGGCGTAAAGTCGAAGTCACCACCAAGCACAGCTACACCATCAACCACAAGTACCTCTGGGTGTGTGCCGGGCGACCGCGCACCTCGGCGATGGATTTCCTCAAGGTGGAGGACAATGAGGGCTGCGGTGCCGAATATGGACGGCACAGTAAGAGTATTGATGTTGAGAAGCATCGGTGTGGGAAGTGCAAGGGCTTCTTGGTGCAGATGAGGCCCAAGCCGAGAGGGGCAGCGAGTCCAAAGAAGAAGTTTATCGCAGCACGGGTGAAGAGGGAGGGTAGCGCGGAAAGTGAGAGTAGCAGCAGCGGCTCCAGTGGGAATCAGACGAAGCCGTTGAGCACGATGATTGAGACGATTGAGCTGAGCGATTGAGTTACTTTAGTGACTTGACCGGCTGATTGTTGGGTTGTTGGGTTGTTCTTGGGTAGTGACATTCAGCATGCTCAAGCCTGCAGACACTGTTGGATCAGACGACGGGATTGTATATTGCTGTTTTGGAAAGGGCTGGGATCGCACTAGGTCTTGCCTGCCTTCTTGACCACAGCGTTTGAGCGTCGAGTACGGCAAGGAGTAAAGGAGTAAGGAGCAAGATAGAAGAAGACACCATCCATGCATACTTGCATAAACTCATGTGTGCTCGGTATCAGCTGTATTTGGGGCGTGTGCCCGGTCATTCAAGAATATGAGAGCAGTCCGCCTCAGCTCTCCTACCGTACCCTGTTCTGTCCTGCCTAATTAGGCACTGTACCATGTTCGGCCTCGTACTGAGGGGGAACTCGATACCGGTCATGGTCACTTGTCCCTCGCTACCCTCCGAGTTGATGAGGTATCGTAGAGTCGTCTTGTCCCGTGTGGTACTGTCTGTCTTGTATTCATCGCTTGTCTATCTATGCATCTATCTACTGTGGATGACTGGGGCTGCCCAGCCGTGCAATGAGAGGGTGGGTATGCAGTATCCATCCAAGTCAATGTTGCAGGTGGCCGTCCGTAGCACAGCCTAGGATCGTACCTGCTCCGCACCACCTGATTGTTGATGTCGATGTCGATGTTGATATTGACGACAACCCAGAATGACCCTACTCTCCACCGAGATTGTTGAGATTGATGTTGACGTTTGATCTGGACCCTCGCGCGTGCCTCTCGCCTCGTGTTGGTGGCGGGCGACTTGACTTGACTTTGTTCATTTCTTCGTTCGTTCGTTCCTCGTGTGGCTCCATCTAGCCATCCATCCATCCGTCTGTCATGCGTGGCAGACATAGCAGCCATGATGTCGCTCAATCCTGTAGTCATCTCTGCGGTGCACTCTTCTCTGATGCTCTCTGCCTAGTCCTACCGTATTGTCCCTGCCAACCCTACCGTGTCCTCGGATGCGTTTCGCGCGTACCCCCTAGGGCTCCTAATGTCGGCCCTTCCCCCGGGGGAAGACGCCTGCTTACCCATCCAACAACCCCCGATCGCGCACCTTCACCGGCCTCCAGACATCGACCCTCCCTCTTGGGGAAATACTCCTCCCTACCCATCCAACAACCCCCAATCGCGCACCTTCAGCGTCCCCACCACCCTAGCGACCAGATCCCTTGCCCTGCCCACCTCCTCGGCAATCATCCCCTCGGTGGCACCCGAGTCACTACTCCCCATCGCCTGGCCCGCCCGCGCAAACTCCTTCAGCGGCACAGCCACGCGCACAAGAACGTCCGTGCCACGATCAGGCAGACGGATGAGGAGCTGGATCTGATGAACGAGGCTGAGTAACGACTGCGCCGCGTGCGAGGCCGAGGAGCCCCCCGTCGTGGGGAAGTCGGCCGGCGCGGTGGCGGCGCCGGGATGGGTCGGCCAAGCGTGGGAGCCTGCGTTGCGCGCGGTGTCGTCGACGGTGTTGATGTTCCCGGCGAGCATGTACGCCGCGTACCCCGCCAGAGAGGGGTCTAGCATTTTCACGGGCTGGGGTGTCGGCAGTGTCGACACGAGGGTGTCGGGTGGGGAGATCACGTCTGTGAAGTGGTGTTTCGTGGCTTCATAGTCGGCGTCCCTGTTCCGGTCTGGCTGTTCTGGATTTGGTTGTGTCTGTGGGCTTGCGTGGCCTGAAACGACCGAGGTGGTGACGCTGGTGGTCGTGGTTGTGGTTGTTGTGGTGGTGGTCCCGTCTGGGCTGATTTCGGTGTGGGTTGTCGGGGCCTGCCCCGGTGCGCCCGACGAGACGTACGTGTTGATCTCGAAGATGATGGACGTGAGGGTCGTGGGCGAGAGGAAGACTTCTTGGTGGTCGGGGATTTGGCGGATGTCGCTGGGAGGGAGGCGAGTTAGTATGTCTTCAGGCACGTGGGAGGGAATGGAGAAATGGGAACGTCGTATGTGCTTTAAAGCACGATTGAGAAGAGTTCGAGACGGCCTCGCTCCTTCCCCCCTGGCACGCTCAAGCATGTGGCATGTTTCCCTGCGGACGAGATCTCGACGCTGCCGCATAAGGTCCTGGTTGAGTCGCGTGGCTTTCAAACACCACAGCGGCCTCATGTGGCATAATGCCCTCGCCTCAAGTCGGTCGACTTACCTCGAATCAATCAACTCCACGGGCAACTCAACAGTCATGGCTCCTCCATAGAGTGGCCGGACACCGTACGTGATCGCCATGTTGAGCCTACTGTATAATGGCGAGCCCTCGAGAGACACCGGGGCCCAAGTCGAGCGCCAATCTAGAATTCCGTACCTGGTGTCTGCCAGTGATGAATCTATCTCCGGACCAGATGAGAGAGAGGTAGGCGTAGCTAGGCTGGGAGCGATACTTTGTGGTCTTCTTCGAGACAGGCAATACAGAAGGACTGGTGCCTAGATGGACTGATCAATGGGCCTCAGGCTTCAGCGCCCGGTACAAGGATGGTGGTCGAGATCGTTTTCAAGAGTGGTCCACGGTCGCTCTGCGCTCTCCTTTGTCCGTCTCGAGGTCAGGCAAAAGATCAAGCGCTGGCGGATAGATTTGGTAAAGAGGTTGAGAAACACGGCCGAGAGATTTCCAGCTGATCGGCAGAATACGAGAAGCACGCACGTAGGATTCTTAGATCACCTGAAGTTTCGTGCCACTACGGCTTCGGCATGTGGGAAACGGCTGCGTCTTTCAACTGTCATTTTCTATCTCGACTACCCAATTTTGAAGACTCGCTAGACTCCACTAATGCGCTGAACTACTCCTGATGACTGAGCTGATACTGTAACCAATCGACTCGGGCCTGCCCCGGTTTTCATCCCTTTACAACAGAATCATGCCCGCTCCACTGACAAATGCAACTGTAAGAGCAGCGGCAACTGACAGGAAACCGAATTGACTAGAGGCAGAGAATCCTGCAACACCAACGTTGGCACTGCTGCTGCCACTAGAACCAGAGCCAGAGCCCGAACCCGACCCAGATCCAGAGCCACCAGTGCCACTTGGCGCAGAGGTGACCGTGCCAGTGCCTGCACTACCAGCCTGGCTGATCAAAGAAGCGCAGTTCCCGCTGGGGGCAGTTGGGGAGGCTGTTGTGGCAGATCCGCCGAAGTCGCATGCCGAGGCACCGTTCCCTTGAGCATTTTGTTGCTCGTAGTACGTGTTAAGTGCCCAACCAAGCTGTTGTTCAGGGTTGCACATGCCATATGCACCATAGTCGCCCGTGGTTGCGTTTGCAGTAATACCGTCACAGACACCATCGGCCAGACCGCAAACAACGCCAAACAACTCGCCGACATCTTCTGAGTCCACATTGTTGGGTCGGCAAGTCAGGGCGTTGAACATGCACTCGCAAAGTTCCTGGTTTGGTGTAGGTGGGAGAGAGGAAGAGGCTTGCCAGTCGTTGTTCACGGTTGGGCATGCGGCTCCGGCGGTATTGGTAGGATTGTAGCTGTCCGAGTTGACTCCGGTAGGGGAAATCTTTGCAATCTGGCTGGACAGAGCATTGAAGTCGGCCAGGGTGCTCACTGAATCGCCGTCGACCGAAACAAGGCCATAGTCGTTGGCTTCCTGGAAGTACATGTAGACAATACCACCGGACCAGACAGGGGTCATTTGAGGGCCGTACAAGGCCCCAACCTCGGTGAACTCGCGAGGCTGGACGGTGTTGCATCCATATTCGGCGAAGAAAACGGGCACGTTGTAACTCTCGAACTCGGCCGTTCGTTGATCATATCCTGACTCTGTATAGCTGGAATCTCCGCACCAGGAGTAGATATTGTAACCCCAGAAATCAATAGCATCTTCCGGGTTTCCACAGTCAAAGTAGTTAGCCAGGTTTTCGCGAATATCCGCATCGTCGTTGGTGGCATAGCCCACACCAAGTGGGCGATAGTTCTGTTGCTTGATGTAGGCCTTCATGTCTCGGACGGCAGCCTTCACGAACGCACTGGCATCGGTGTTTGTGTTGTTGTTGGACACCTCGTTTCCTGCAAAGAAACCGAGTGTGTTGGAGTACTTCGCCAAGTTGTCGATAACGGCAGTGTAGCGAGCGTACAGGTCATCGTTCCAGGTCGGGCCGTCGCGGATAATGGAGTTGCCTGGCGACGACAGATCAGAGATGACATAGATACCAGCGTCAGCCAGCATGCTCATGCACTCGTCATGGTTCTGCGTGGGATCGATCGCGTAGGTTCGAATGGTGTTGGTGCCCAGCTGGACAAGGTAGGGGATATCTCGCTGGCATGTGGAGGGGTCGGCGAGAGGGTCGATGTAGTTGTCACTACCGCCGGAGGTTGTGCCGTTGCCCAGATATTCCTCTGTCGAGCACGTCAACTGACATGCTCGCTGGACGCGTGAGTAATAAACGTACGTTGGTAGGCAATGCCTTTCATGAAACTGCGCCATGTCAGCTAAGGACCGTCCAAGCTTGGGAGAACCGCTGTACTCACAATTGCGTTCCATTTGTCTGGTAGAAGAATTTGGAGCCCTGAAGATTAACATATCAGCACACCGTCTTTCCTCGTCACACAGCAAAGAGATTATCGTCGTACTTTAATTACGATTGGGTCTACATCTGCATATGCGGACTTGATCAAAAGAGCAGCGCCAGCGACAGCAGTCGCAGCGGCAGAGAAACTCTTCATGCTGACGATGGTCGAGGGATGAAGAGGGGCACAGGTGCTGTCTGGCCCGCGAAAATTGTGTAAGAGGTGTAATCAGGTCGCAGCGACAACAAGAATGTCGCTCCCTGGGTAAAGTGGTAACGAGCTGTCACTGCCGGTAGTGGCAGGAGCGAGGGACAAATGGGTCCGCAATATGGAAAGAGTGTCACGAAGGTGTAAGTCAACAAGCAAAAGTGAAAAAAGCACTGGTCGGAGAATAAAGTGCAGGTCTACAAACAAACACTCCTGGGGACAGTGACATGAATCAAGGGAAAGGGGAGGGAGAAGGGATGGTGGGATCGCGAGGCATCCAACCCCAAACCTCTTCGGTCCAAGTTGGGAGCGGAACAAACAACGAGCATCTTTGCAGATTCGGTTCTTACAGGCACGGATGCCCCGTCCTCGGTGCCCCTCTAGGCGGTGCACGCCCCCAAAATACCTCCCCGGGGGTACGAGTTGCAGCACCTTAGGCCCGCCAGATCGTCTTTACTCATGGAGCTGGACTCCGTACTGCGTAGATCCGTTGTTGATTGGTCATGCACTTGCCGCAGATCGTGCGTCGATGGCAACGTCCACACACCCACCGCAGCTGCCGCGCAACACGGCGCAGGCGAACACGCGTCCGTTTCCCCATCCGGTTCCCTCGGCCATTTAGGAATGCTGTGTAGGTCGGTGCACATTCCCACAGGTTACTGTCATGGTTGCTGGTTGCTTGGGCTAGACGCCATAGTGCAGACATTGGCGTCCACATTGTCAAGATGTTGCTGGCGAAAGAATGCCGGCACTGAGCAGCAAGAGGAGAGATGGAATTATGAGTTGCATAACTTGGGACTCGAAATTATTTCTACGGTTCCTGACTCCTGAGTTCTTGACCGGAGACCATTATCCGGCTCTGCAATCTTGCAAGTCCAGGGGGATTCAACCACGACATGAATAGTGTGGTATCTGCGAGGTGGACCTGTCCTGTACCTCGTACGATGCGCTCGAGGAGACAGTAAGTGCTGGGATCCGAACACTGTACTCCGTACTTCGCATCAAAGTTCAATATGGCATGAGGCCCATATCGATGCAGCACGAAACACATGGTTTGCCACGGGCCGGTATAGCAAATGGGAGTCGATGCTGTGGAGGGAAAAGCTCTGCGTGTCTCACCATTGAAGCTGTGGGTGCCTGCTCTTCCAACAGCTTGTCTCGAGCTTCTTCAGACGTGTCTCGGCCTTGAACATCGTTCAGTGAAAGGCGATCCTGATATGCGAACAAGCTCGCCGCCCAGTTCCTCTCATTTGTCCGCGAGCGAAATTGGCTGTTCGAGTCGCCGATGTGGTGACATGATGATTGGAGGCGGCCCCCTTATCCCTATTGATCCCACTCCACATGTATCCTCGCCTGTGGATAATCACGACTTCGGTCGATGACGGGCTTATCCAACCCTAAATAGCAATCGCCACTGACGGATAATCCGGTGCGCTCTCGCCAGCCAAATGCTTGTTCTATTTTTCATGAAGAGCTTTGATAAGTTGATCAGTGTCGGCTGCAGCAACCTGACTAGACTTGCCGTGCCATTGGTTTTTGAAAACTTCAGCAAGATGAAAGATACCCAGTCGAGAGGGAGTGTCTGCCGGATCTATCCAGGGGAAAGGATCGCAAGCCAGAAACTTTCATGTTGAGAATCTTAAAACGAATTATCCGGGAACCACATCTGGATCCCTCGGCCCACCCGGCGCGCATCACTGCTGATCAATGCTTCACGGTCCACAAAATGCATGATGATGGCTTTTGCCGCTTACAACCAAAGTGAATTCTGCTGCGTTGGAAGAATGAATACTCCGTACTACCTCGTAGATACACAGTGCGAACATTGTGTCAGAAAATTTAGTGTGGTTCGAATGATGGAGGGCATGCGTACCTGGCAGCTCATCCACTGGACACAGACATACCGACGCGTGGACTTCGTCGAGACAAATGAAACAAGTTACAGCTCAATCGGCACAGTAGGAAAGACCTTAGTCTCTTCGGAGGATCCAGCCTCCCATTTATTTGGACGAGAAGCAACACATTTGTTGGCAAGACGAGCGGGTGGCCTAGATACTATCTCGCACAGTGCACGCAACACGTTGTACGCGTATATACACAGTAGGATGGCGTTGATGCTCATCGTCGGTGGGCGGCGTCTATAACACCGTTCCATGCAGCTTAACTACCAGTTATGGCGTTCCTTGGACCGCTTACCACCACAAGTGCTGTGTGCGTACTTCTACATTGCTGCGCCGGACAAGACGCGTCGTCAGGATATGCACATCTCGCGAAAGCCCGTGGCTGCTTGCTACTTTCCCTGCTCATTTGCGCCTCGGGTGATTGCAGTTATGCATCTGCATCTGCATCGTGCGGAGTGCGACGACAGTGTGTCCGCTGTCGGAACTGGAGGCCGACGGATACATGCAGTGCGTCTGTAGCAATTTTTCCGAGACGCAGTTTAGATCTGCAACACAGAAGCCCACGAGATGAAACAACTGCCGTGTGACCAGCTCTTCAAACCACATCCTGTG